AGAGAATTTTTCAACCCCCTCTCCTTGATCTCTTTGTTCTGCTTCCCATCCCTCACCTTATAAAAACCTCTCCTGCACTGAGATGTAGAGATGTGGACAAGAGTCTCCCATCTTTTCAGGTGACTGGCACTAGAATAAACCACCTTCCTTTTCACCAGCATCTGCCTCACGAGTTTGGCTTTTATGGCACCAGGCAGCTGACCCTTGGTTCTGGTTGCAGTCGAAGATGGAAGCATATTGAGGCAGGCATTTTTGTTTACTGGTAGAAGATGAGGGAATTCCCATCTCTGCCTTTCTTTTTCTTGTTTTAGCTCATTATGATGTAAAATCATTTTGTTTGAGGGTGATGTGTGAGGCTGGCTGCGAGAAGGGGCAGGGTTGAATGTCTGAGTAGAAAAAACCTGTAGTCGTCATTACTGAGTGTTAGAATGTAAGTTAACCCGAGAAAAATTAGCTGGTCTACTGTGCAGTGTGAAGAGTTGAACCATTTGAAAATATTTATGACTTTATAATGATGCTGACCTCGGTTCTCTTTCAGCTCCTAGGGGCAGACAGTAGAAAGCAGACAGTAGACAGCATCCTGAGTAACACAATACCTCCCCAGGTATTTAGAAAAGACAGCGGGCAAAGGACTTTGGGGCAAAGCAAGAACATTTCAAAAATAATGAACTCTATGAATGTAAACTGTAATTGAAACATAAAATTAAAAATAATGAATCATAAAATCCATGCTGGAAAAGGGATGGAAAAAAGAAATCAGGTAAAGGATTGAGAGAAAGTGGAGGGGACATAAGTTGGAGAGACTGTCGGTGGAGAGTGGGATGTTTAGCTTATAATATGGAGGTAGAGATGTCAAGGAACTGAGCCAGGGACAGATGGATTGTCCATGTGGTAATGGCAGCACAATACCTCCCCAGGTATTTAGAAAAGACAGAGGGCAAAGGACTTTGGGGTAAAGCAAGAGTGTTTCAAAAATAATGAACTATATGAATCTCATCGTCTCCATTTCCTCATCTTCTACTCACTCTTCGACTCACTCCAGTCTGTGACCACAGTCTACCCAACAGCTTTTACTGAGGTCTCAGATGACCTCCATGTCTTCAAATCTAGAAAGTATTTTCCAATCCTTATTTTGCTTGATTTTTCAGCGTCATGTGACACTGTAAACCATTCTCTGTTCTTGAAATGATCTCTTTCACTTGCTTCCAAGAGAACACAACTCATTTCTTTTCAACTTCTCTGGCTCATTTATTCATCTCCTTTAGAGTTCCATCTTTACACACACTTTTCTTAATAGGGTGTAAGCCTCAGCCCTGTCTATATTTTTTTCTCTCTAGGAAACTGTATCAGTGCTTCATGGCTTCAATAACTACTCATCAGCTTACATGTTTCTTTTGAGCATTAAGCCCATATATCCAATTCCTACTAGTCATTTCTACTTGGCTGTCTCAGAGGCTTTTCAAACTCCTCACTTAATAACTTGAACTCATAACTTACCCCGATTCTGGTTCTTTTCTGATGTTCCTACCTCAGTGAACCTTCTTATCTGGTTACACAAATCAGAAAACTAAGAGCCTCCCTTACCCTGAACTTCCCATAGTGGCTATCTCTTACTCCCATCAATTTGCTTCATGAATATCTTTAGAATCCACCTCACTTAATAACTTGAACTCATAACTTACCCCAATTCTGGTTCTTTTCTGATGTTCCTACCTCATTGAACCTCCTATCTGGTTACACAAATCAGAAATCTAAGAGCCTCCCTTACCCTCAACTTCCCATAGCCTATCCCTTACTCCCATCAATTTGCTTCCTGAATATCTTTAGAATCCACTTCTCTCCTCCTCTCTCGTTACCACCCAGATTCTAACTGTACCATCTCTTGACTACATTGCTGCGAAGCTTCTTGGTGCCTTCCTGTCAGTCTTCTGGCTCCCCTCCAACCCGTTCTCCACACTGAATCCCAGGAATCCTGCCTCCTCCCCAAACACAGATCTGATCATAGAACTCCTCCCTTCAATGGCTGTAATTACTCCCCTCTTTCCACTGCTCCTTGAAAAAATACAAAAACCTGTCTTGTGGTCCTCAGGTTCCAGCATGGCCTGGCCCCAGAGTCTGCTCCTACCACACGGCCTTCGTCTCTCCTTCTCTTCTCCCACTTGTCCCCCAGCTCTCAGCTTGCACTTCCTCAGGGAGCTCCTGATCACTCTGCACAGGTCGGCCTCCTCCATTGTGCTCTCACAGAACAGTGTGCCTTCCCTTCATACGGCTTAGCTCAGTTTGCATTTACACATTCGTTTAGGTGGTTATTTGATTAATGTCTGTCTTCTCACAACAGACTCCAGGCACCATGGGAGCAGAAACCACATCTGGTTTAGCTCATCTTGTGTCCTCCCCACTTAGCAAATACCTGTCATAGGTGCTCTAAATAAGTTTGAGTTTTGTGTGTGTGTGTGTGTGTGTGTGTGTTTGTTTTTTTTGGGGGGGGGGTACGGTTTAGAACCATGGGATTTAAGCAGAAAAGGGTATCAGAAATCATCTGTTTTCTGAAGAAATGGAGGCCTAAAGAGATGGGAGATAAGGGGGGTTTCATTTACACATGGTTACACAGTTAGCTGATGGCAGAGTTGGAATGTATGTTCTGGTCTCTTTCTATCTCAACCTGGGAACTATTTGTTTGTTTTCTCAATGTAAACACTGTGGTAGTATTCTCACCCTCTCCTGCTTTAAAAAAAAGTGTAGAAATAAAAGCAGTGTGTGTGCAAACTGTGTTTTTTGTGCTGGCCAATCAATCACACAACATCAAAGCACTGGTGGCAGTCAAAAATAAATTAAATTTTATCATAGATATGTATGTATATGAAAAAACATAGTATGTATAAGGTTTGGTACTATCCGAGGGTTTAAGCACCCACTGGGGTTCCTGGACATATCCTGCGTGGATAAGCGGGTGACTACTGTAACATGCTGTTATCCAAATAACTGTTAGGGGGAGCTCTGTGCCAGCAGGAGTCCCCCCCGCCCCCCGCAGCAGTGAGGAGTGCCTAGTGAGAGCCAGGAGGCACTCTCTTCTTCCCTCTCCTGCTGACCAGCCCAGCCACCTGGCCAGTCAGCATGAGGATTAACAAGGCTCACAGCGGCTACGCCCTGGGAGCTGTGAGCCCATCAGAGGAAGTGACACGCGCATTTCCCTGGGTTGCAGCAGGCAATCACTTTCTGCTGTCAGACCACAGTCTGATGATCAAAGGCAGTTTGCAGTTTCTCCAGAGCCTTCCCTTTCCCAGTTTCTTTTGCACTGAGTGAAGCACGGGAGCCCCCTGGTGGTAACGTGTAGAAATATCTGTGAGAGGGGAGAGATTTGCTGAGTTTGGGTGAGAATTCAGTTCTTTGTATGCCTCTTGCCTCCACAAGCCATTTCCAAAACCTGCCATTAACAGTAAGCCAGGCCCATTATAGACCATCTGAACCAGAAGGTGTCAATGGGGTTGCCAGCCCCTGCGGCTAAGCAGAGCTGTCTGTGCCTGATGAGCTGTGAGTCGGGCCCACAGTGCAGGGCCCAACCTTCTGTTCCGAAGGGAATGCACTGTGCTAGAAATCCAAAGGTTTGTAGAGCATTTTACCGTCGACTGACATTCAGCAGTCCCCCTTATCTGCAATTTTGCCTTTTACTGTTTCAGTTACCCACGGTCAATGGTTGTCCAAAACTATTAATTGGAGAATTCCAGAAATAAACAAGTCATGAGTTTTAAACGGCAAACCACCAGGCATCATCCTGCTCCGTCCAGCATGAGGTGTGAATCACCCCTCTGTCCCTCCTCTCTACGCTGTAGATGCTCCCACCCATTAGTCACTTAATAGTGTCGTGGTCATCAGATCGACGGTCTGGTATCACAGTGTTTGTATTCTAGTTATTATTGTACTTCATAATGGTCCCAAAGCCATGCACATAACTTTCATTATAGTATATTGCTATAATTCCATCATGGCGAACCTTTTGAGCTCGGTGTGTCAGCATTTTGAAAAACCCTAACTTAACTCTGGGGCCGTGTCACATATAGAAATTTTTTTTTATTTTTGCAACCATAGTAAAACAAAGACTTATATTTTTGATATTTATTTTATATATTTAAATGCCATTTAACAAAGAAAAATCAACCAAAAAAGGAGTTCGCGTGTCACCTCTGACATGCGTGTCATAGGTTCGCCATCACTGCTATTATTGTTCTATTTTACCATTAGTTATTGTTATTCATTTCTTACTGTGCCTAATGAAATGAGTTTGCATGTCACCTCTGACACACGTGTAACAGGCTTGCCATCACTGCCTTAGAATGTAGTTTGAGTCTTGTGGGTGGAAAGCTGGGACCAGGGCACAGGTGAATAAGGGCAGGTGGTGGAACAGCGGGACAAACGGGAGGTTGGCAGTTCACAGAGCTAGACAGGTTCGAGATGATGGAAGGAACAGGGCCAAGGAGAAGCAAGTGGATGACATACCCGTAACATCTGTAAATGCCCAAGCTGTCTCATCGAGAAGGAAAGGGTGAGGCATTGCAGGTGTCTGTGGCTGGAGAGTGGTGATCTCGGCCAGCGGAAGCCAGGCTGGCAAGGCCTGGAACCAGGCCTGTGGGGGGCAGACTCCAGGAAAGGAAGCAGCCCCTGATTTCTCAGACTGTGTCTCAAAGGCTGGAAATAGCTACTCCCGCTTTTCATCGACATTTTTTTGATAAGCCCTATGTTATTACCTCTGTGTTATAATGTGTCCAGTTTTGTGTTTGATTTTCTCTGCATATAGTGCGCTTTAAAAAGTAAAAATAAAAATTTTCCTTATTTTTAAAACATTAGGAAATATATGTTTGAAAAGTTAAAAATCACAAAGAGATCAAAACTGTTTAATAGTTACTTTTTTGATGGAAAACCAGCTGTACCTGCCTGTACCGTTACATATACCATCGGACACTCATACTCCACTAGGAACATGATATATTACAAAAGAGAGGGACTTTTAAAACCACATTTAACTTTTAATACAAAATCTGTTGCACTATTACAGAAGTGACCCCTTCATGCACAGATAAATTTAGCATCTACCATTAGGGAAGAGTAAAACCTGTACTCTTACTGTTTCCCCCAAACACTGGCAAATTTAAAGTAACTTTTATCTCTGTGCTCTCTGATACCAAGGCAAGCCTGGCTCCATTAGAAAGGCTGGTCTGTGAGAAGCAGAGGAGGAGACACACAAGCATTTAGGGCCATCTTTACCTGGGATTGCTTCAAACTGTGCTTTACCCACATGTATCAAAAATGCCATGTGACTAGGTTACTGAGCCCCACAGGCAAAGCTCGGAGGAGTTCATCTAGAAACTTGCTGTCCATGTGTAGGATAGTCCACTAGTTCAGTTTCACAGCAAAAGAGGAAGCTAAAAACCCAAAGGTATTGAAATGCTTTCCGATCCCATGCACTGTATTAATTAGCTAACTTCTTATACAGTACAACATAAACACTGTTTGCATGTTTATTTGTATGTGACACCTATAAGCATATAGCATCTACATTTTAAGTGTATGTACAAATTCAACAAAATATCTACATATAAAAAGCTTTACTTAAAATTAAACTTGATGCAAGTTATGAGAAACCAATTTATTGGCAAATGAAACTGAGCATTCCTTCAACCATAGGTTGTTATAGAATTTCCTATGTGGAGGCAAACCATTTGATAGATATTGTTTATAAATACGGTAGCATAGATATGGGTGTTTTGAAGCTGCAGATAGTAATCCGCTTGACTCTGGGTCTTGTTAGCACTTACCCGGTTTTGTAGATTCTGAAATGTGTCCACAGCAGTTTGCATACAGGTCTTTTAATGCAGAGAGTTTCAAAAGTTGCCACATAGGTAAAGACTTAAAGAAGAATATATTCCTGGTGGCATGCTGTTGTATGCTTTTAGTTTTGGAATAACTTGTGGTTTTTTAAAAATTTACACCAAGTTGACATCTTTCTTACTGAGTGGGACTTGTTTTAGTAGAAACTATAAAAGACCCCTTCTCCCCCCCAAATCATCATGTATCCAGTTGGTGATAACGTTTCTCTTTTTATGTGATGGGGAAATGCTCCCTAAAATAAGTTGTCTTACTAATTTTATTTTTCACATTTCCTTTTTTTCCAGCATTGCAAGTTCTCATGATCTCCGCTGTTTAAAAGTTACTTTTAGACCATGACAGTAATCTAGGACTCTGAGTCAACTGTACCTTCGATGCAGAAGGCCACGTGTTATGGAATGCTTGTCTGAAGGCACTGCACGTGTCTTGCCCTGTGCTTTCTGGAAAACGTTTTGAAATTGAATGGGAGTGATTCGTCTGTCATTCTTTTTGTCTGGCACTAATGCCAAAATGCATGGCAACACACCTTGTTTATGCCTAAAAACAACCGAACATAGAGATGACGTAAAAAGTAGAACACTGTACTGCTGTAATACCTGGAAGATTAAGAAGGCTACGAGGTAACAAGAGCAAAGAGCAGGTAACAGAGTCTCAGTAAGCATCAGCAAATGCGACGGCCGTGATTAACTCATTTAGCAAGTATACACTGTACATCCTGTTCCTAACAGTCTCCCGAAAAGACTAACAGCTAGACACGGAGTCACCAATTTCACCACAATGTCCACAAAGACATTGAAGCTCTAGAGAATACTACAGTAACACTCTTGACAATGAAAACGGAATTCATATTTAGGGGGTTCAGCTGAGAGCAGTATAAACAAAGCATCAAACCAGGTTTTCATAGCACACACCGGTCTGTCCTTTATCTGTGCAGCATTTTTCATGCATCATATTGAACTGTATCCTGAAGAGGGAACAACATGATCTGCGTATTATTTTTCTCAGTTCTGAGAAAATCAAGAATGCCGATTTTGAATGAAAAAGTATGCCCTTTGCACTGCAGTTCACATTCACGTATCATTTGACTGAGTTATGTTCTTGCTCTAACTGTTCTCATAGCGCTAACATACAGTAGAATGTGTACTTTCTGCCTCTATGTTCACAGTATGAGAAGGCTGACTGACAAGTGCTTAAGATAAACCTTCTAAGAGGAATGGGATATTGGCAAAGAGCTTACAAATTAAACAAAGGAATTCATGGCGTTGACCGGAGAAGGTGCCTCTGAGCTTTCGTTTCCTTCAGCTGGCTCTTTCTCTTTCTTACCACTGTATTGTCCAATAAAGGAGCCATCCTCATTGAACTGGCCATTCACTCCCTCTCCATAGTCAACAAGGCTATCATCACTGTCCTCTTTCTTCACAGTCCTGTCTGAAGGTGTTCGGCTGCCTTTTTTCAAAGGCTTGTGGTCTTCTGCATCACTGGAAGAAAAAGAAATTTTCGTCAAGATTGGTAGTTTGATAAGATGCTTTGTTCTGAAAGATTATGCATGCCTATTATGATAAAGCATATGGAGTCCCAAGCTTCTCTAGCCAAATCTAATCATCACGTTGACTCCCATGACTGGGGTGTGGCTGGAATGAAAATCAGGTACAGAAATGGCTTAATCATGAAATCTTCAGTAGGTGGATGGCTTCTTATTGTGCATGTCTATCAATGTCAGATTCAGGCTCCTGATTTAGAAACAGTTCAGAAATAATCACAAGCATTAAAAAAGGAAGAACTGAAGAAAGATAAAAATCATCACTATTTTGAATTCCAAAGGGGGTAAAGATTATGGCAAGTAGAGAAGTTAGTATGTTAAACAGTGTAGTATCTCTGATTCCTTGGATATGAATGGAGAATGATTTTGGTTAAGTGTGAAATATGGATTTTTTTTTTCTGAGCAATAAGCAACAGCAAAATCCTGCATTTCAAATAATTTTGTTATTGAGTGCAGGCCAGACTTGTAAACTTTAACCTTACCTTTCAAGAGACCTACAAATTCCATTAAAAGGATGCAGAAGAAACAAATGAAAATAGCCTAAGAAGAAAAGCAAAATTCTTATACTGATAATGCATAGTATTTCTTTCTGTAAGAATTTTAGTTAATGGGTAAAGATTTATTATTTTTGAAAGAGACGCAATTTAACTTAAGAGAACTATGTGTGTGCTACTAATGGCATGTCAATATATTCTAGAGCGTGAGTGATTCCAAAAATGCAAAAGCAAGCATTTCTTGTATCCTCTTTACCCCTCTCCTCCTCTCCCAAGTGTGGCACGCAGCCTATCCATGTCAGATGGGAATCTAGGAAGGGTAATTTAATAAATCTTTATAAGACCCATTTACCCTTTATTTCTCTGTTGAATCTCTGGAAGGGGAAGAGTAATCGTTATGTTTAGAACATCCACTCATATGGTCAAGTAACTACATATGCACACTGACCTATTCTTAACATTTGGTTTAAAAAGAAAAGAAAGAAAGGCAATGACAACATTTTTCTTTCTTTCAAAGAACAAAAATACAGGCAAAATAAAAAAATGTAAACAAAATTAGTAAAAAATAAAAAGGCTTAATGTAAAAAGAGAGGTTGCCTTAGATGTATTTCACCCACCAATTTGTATAAGGACTTTATTGCTCCATTTGTTTTTGAGAGTGACTTTCACTTCTAGCTGAGATACAAATATTTTAAGATGCACAAATATTCTGGGTCTTTTGCCAATAGTTCCTACTAGTGTTTTCAATTTTTCTCCAAGAATAAGACCTTAAGATTGGAAAAAGTAGTAGCTTAATAAGACGTTCACATGAGCTATTGAAAACTACCTGTTTCAAATAAAATACAAGTTTTTGTCATAAACTGAATAAACCATATTATCACCACGCCTAATAAACAACTGGGGAAGTATCACAGAACCTTGGGGTGGCCTGGGTTTGGGGCACTTCAGGGGACATGGCATCCATTCTCCAACCTGCTGCAAGAATAATGTGCACATCTTTGGTCATTAATTTATAGGCTTTGCTTGAATATTTCCTGTGAAGTATTGCTCATGACTTGATGAGACACTTAATTTCCCTGAAGAGTTCAATAATGAGCAGAATTCTGTCACCTGGATTTTAATTCTTCATCTTATTCTGCTCTGTGGAACTAGTGTTCCAAGAAATATACAGGAAATTCTAGTCTATGGCATTTCTTTGATCCATCCATGCTGACATTCATTAGCTAATAAATGTTTATTGAGTGCTTATTGTAGGACAGATAACATTCTAGTCAGTGGGGAAGCAAACAAAATAGACTGAAACCCTGACCTCACGGAGCTACTTCTAGTAGGGAAAACACAGACATAAACAATCAACATATTTAAAAGAGTAGTTGTGTAGTATATCAGAAGGTAATTAGTGCCATGGAAAACAGAGAGCTGAGCAGGGAGGAGGGGAGGTGCCAGGGGAGGGTGTGAAAGGTTGACATGTAAATAGGATTAGGATGTCTAGGGAAGGCCTCATTAAGAAGTGACACCTGATCAAAGACTTAAAAGAGTTGACTTATCCAGGTGGATAGCTGGAGGCAGAGAGACTCCAGCAGGAGTAGCAAGCAGTACAAATGCCTGGATGTTCAGTCAAGCCTAGAATGTTCTAGGAACAGAGAAGAGCTTGTGTGGCTGGAGCTGAATGAGAAAGAAAGAGAGAGAGAGAGAGAGAGAGAGAGAGAGAGAGAGAGAGAGAGAGAGAGAAATGGAGGATGGGGAATGAGTGAAAGTAAAAGGGAGGAGATAGGGCTAGACAGCTGACTGGACCAGGGCCTTCCTTATAGGACATTATAAGGATTCTGTCTTTAACTGGTGGTGAGATGGGAAGCTACTGGAGGGTTTCCAATGGATGAGTGACACGATCTTACATTTTAAAAGGATTACAGTCATCAGTGTTGAGAACAGCCTCCCCTGGAGAGAAGTGATTGGCAAACAGCAAAATTTGGCCATGCCCATTTATTACCTATTACCTGTGACAGCTTCTGCCCTACAACAGCAGAAGCGCAGAGTTGCAGCAGGGACTGTGCGCCCTGTAAAGTCAGATATTTGCTATCAGGCCCTTTCCAGGAAAAGTTTGCTGCCCCTGCTCTAGGAAGGCAGGGGGCCCCTGGCAATCATCCAGGAGTGAGATTATGGACATATTTTGAATGTAGCACAGACAGGGTTTTCCGATGAATTAGATATGGAATAACAGAGAAGAAAAACAATGCCAAGATTTTTGGTTTGAGAAACAGGAAGGACAGAACTACCATGACTGGATGTTTGGACATGATAAAGTTTGACATGTCAGAGGAATCACTCCTTTCACCATTTTATGAATCTAGCATAACACTGCTATCTAAAACTAACAAGAACAGCCTCTAAAACAAACTAGTCATCATTTCATGATTAAGGGGCAGAATTATAGGTTTTTGTTTTGGAAAAAAAAGTCTAATCCAAGATTAAAGACTAACACTGATTTTTAAAAGCACCATTTAGAAGGTAATAGGTAAAAAAAAAAAAAAAGAAGGTAACAGGTATAGTTTTCTTTACAAGACGGGGTTGTGGGGTCTTTATGTTGTTTTAACTCTTCTTGTAACACAACCACTGTGCTAGCTTGATCAATACAGCAAAGGCGTCTGGATAATACTACAGAGTGGACGACACTCCACCTTAAACCTGTGACTAAACTGGAAATTTGTTCTTTAATGAAAGCGAGTGACTATTTTAACTGCGAGGGATGTGTATACATTTAGACATGGAAGTGTTGATGAACGAATATTTGAAGAAAATATGAAACAGCAGGGAGAGTTGTTCCTGGTTGCGACCCTATTCCCGGGGACCAGTGCGGTGTCCGCAGCACCGGGAAGGTGCGGGCTCGGGAGAAGAGGCTCACCTGTATTCCCCAAAAGTGCCATCGTCTTCCTTCATGGGCTGGATTTCGGGATCAGGGTGGGCGTCTTCTTTTTCTTTAACTGAAAATTTCAAAATGACATTCTTATCTATAGACCTTGTGTTTCCTTATTCAAAGGTTTTACCAGTGCACTCTTTGTGATACACAACAGTGGAAAGAAAACACTTCTACACAACCATATGGGTTATATAACATCAACCCTATAAGGAAAGAAATGTTCAACATCATGACATAAGGGCACCGTTGATGCATTATTTCCTCGGGGAGGCTTCTGGTACCTTCACCCTCTGCCTGTTGGTTGTAAGGTGCTATTTTGACCCCTATGACTTATGTGGAGCCTAAGGAAGCAGAGTCACTAATATCTCCAATAAACAGATTAATGTACTCCCACCAGATGTCTTCTGACCCTCAACAATGTGTAGGCTCCCATTAGATAAAAAAAGATAGAAAATTGTTTGAACAGGAAGTCCAAGTTTATGGCTCTGTAAAGATATACTTATTGCAAGCTGCATGATTTACCCTCATAATTTCTTTTTACTTCAGTGGATGATTAGGCAGCATTATAAGGAAATTTTAATCTTTATTTCTTACCTGGATATTTACCACCCTTGTTTCTTCTGATGAAGCAAACGATCAACAAAATTAAGATAAGGAGAGCGACAGCACACATGAGACCAATGAACCAGCCTTGAGTCGCAATGTCCACCTGTCGGCTTGCCATTGCTGGAAAGCAAATGGATGGTGTCAGTGGGAAAGGGTTAAGAGAGAGATGTTGGAGTCTCTTGTATAATAAATTGCTATAGTATATACACTTGTGTATGTTCTACATGTGGCCCCAAATTGGAATCTGTCAGTTACCAACCAGGCATAAGTACTTCACTTTGAAAACTCTTAACTAAAACAATTCAAATAGAGAAATCTGAATGATAATACCTTAAATGCCA